ATCTTTTATGTGACTCTGCAAACAAAGTCTCGATTTAGAGTCTCTCCACTATTATCTTGGTCGCATGGCTTAATTGCCAGAATCTGGCATGTAGCTGCCCCTCACCGATGGCGATCGCCCTCAGGAAAAACAGATTCGTTTCGAAACACTAAACTAGAAAAAATTTTCATTCTTCTGGTATCTTTACCCGGCCTATCCATTAGAAAACTCGTGTATTTCTCATGGAGTGATGAAAGGCATGTAGTATCAGTGATGATTCGAACCATCCTCTTTTCTGTTTTGCCAGTTCAGCACTCAAGCCGCAAAAGCAAGCTTCTGCATCAGGAACGATCCTCAGCTGAAACTACAACTTTAGCTTAAATTGAACTTCAGAGGTTGTTCAAACCTGTCATCAGACCTATCACTTAAGGCATGGGTAATCAAGCCACGGCCAAAACTTTGGACTAAATAATATGGAATAGCTTGTTCCCTCAAGCAAAGATTAGTCATGAAATCTATTATGTAGGATAACGAAATTGCAGTAGAACATCACAAACTTTTTGTTGTCAGCTCGAACACTAGGAAAGACACTTTTGTCACCGACCGGTACAGAAAAATTTTGAATCAAGAAACACAATTTTGAAAATAAACTGACATTAGTTAAAATTGGAAGATATTAATATCAAAATATGCATGTAGACGTACTTTAAATTTAGGTTTTGAATAGACTTGACACTTGGCAGGATGTCACCACTGTCCAGTTCAATTTACCTTAGATAATTGGATATGAATATGGAGCGGGCATTTATGTTCCTAAGAATCATTAGTCTTCAGAGAAGATGAATCTTATTGACTTGGCTAAAAGATTTATGATATTTTTCATATGATGAGATCATTAGTATGAAGAACTATGTCCTGGCCATTTTTGGTCATTTTACACCTACTGGGACTCAAACATCACGTCACGCTATAATGCTTTTGCAAAATAGTAAGCTTTTGATTAGCCTCAGCTCTATGATCAAATCAGAACATTATATCAGATCCGATTAGCCCTTTGCAAGATTTATAAGACAGAATACAAACTTCATAGAAAGCACAGTACCTTGCAGAATAATCAGTACAATAATGTCACGGACTGCGTGCGAAGGCCACTGCGAATAACAGCATGAATTGCCACAGTACTGTAGTGCGCATTTTGCCCAGCATTGAAGACCGAACCAGATCTCTAGAAGAGCTGAATAAATAGGCAAGGATAATCAGATGTCGAAAATTGACCTTGTGACAATATATAAATTAGCTTAGAAGAAGGATATGGTGATTTCAGGCAAAAATCAGGAACGAGTGCTTTTATCAGTTAATCACATCAAGGAATGACGATGAAGAAATGCAATCCTACATTTAAGTGAATCACTGAGGAAGTTGCCTAAATTTGGTACGCGGAATTTCAATGCTTGGACCAATCAAGTATCGCCATTGAGGTTGTCCTCTTTCCATTTCCAAAGGTCGTTCCTTCGGACTGTCTTTCTGACTTTCACTAGAGTAGTCACATTCTCTGTTCCCCTGATGGACAGTGTCATGGAAAGACCTCCTTTACTGTTCTTTAGAACTCTATGCTGTCTTTATTCCCTTAATATATACGACATTATTTGTCGTCACTGTTGTCCATCTCACATGCGGCCGATGGTCTATCTATCGGAAGAAGCCGACTTTGAAATTAATGATTATGATGAAGTTTCATATCGTGTTTATGGAGAGCTTTCGAACGATTTATGACATGAGGGATAAATCGAGTAATTAATACAGATGACCGGTGATTATTTAAACATCGATTTCAGATTAATTGATTCTGCGCTGACATAGCGACCCCGCGCTGTCACCACAATGGAATCTTAAAATCAAATGAGAATCATCGAAATTCACTGTTTGACAACGGCCTCGTACTTCAGCCACAGAGAACTACCCGATGATGCAAAAGATGAGGTTCTGAATGACGCAGCTGAGGCAGCTGACCAGTGTCCAGTTATAGAAAATCAGTGGGACCAGCGTAGGTCCGAGCGCTGACACCAGCCAGCAGTCTGGTCATGTGCCAATCGAAAGGGACATAAATCATTTCATTGGCCGTGATGTGGCTGTGTATATTAACAGACATTGCAGATGGACCAATGCATTAGATAAATGTGACATTTTCTCATGATGAAGGGTAACAAAAGCTAACTCACTGTCAGCTGATTGACATATGACTGAAGATGATAAGAACGACAGTTGAACTGAGTACAGCGGCTCTGGTTTCGACGTATAATGAGGTTTAAATGGCACGATCATACTCCATTAAGTGCCCGGGCACATTTGACTTCAGAGGATGTGTGAACTGAGAAAGGACAAACTGGTCCTGCTAAACAAACTGGTTGAATATAAAGTATTTACTGTAGACCATTAGCTATTCGTGTGGGTGCTGAAACACCGCAAATCTTGTCTAGATGGCAAACACACAACATGGGCCAATGAGGTGGAGGTAGATGCAGTTCCGTAGAGGAACTGTACTACGATGGAGCAAACGATGGCTCCTAATAAAAGTGTTCAAAATTTACGTGTACGGCGATGGTATAAACCATAGACGTTCTGATTATGCGAAAAGCTCAAGGTTATGATCTCAGCGAAAAAACACTACGTACAGATGGTGATTCTCATGCACAGCTTAAACGCTGGCTTTTCAGCAATGTCTTGATTTTTTTCTGCCATTAGCATGAAGACGCATTATGCAATTTTAAGTAATCCGTTAAACCGGTTAAACCGGTTTTTTTTAAATCTTGGAAGAAGGTTATACACCCTGTAAAGTTTCCGTTGGTTTATTAAAACGCCACATTTCTATGTGCACAGTGAACATTGTGTCATGAATCATAAATATGTGAGTTAATTATTCTACAAAATAATTTTTAAAATTTCTGACAGTAAAAAATACATTCGCTCTCGTAATCGATTAAGAATTTTCCATAAATTTGTGCGTTCTGTTCAGAGAAGTATTGCAAGCATCAATATTCCTCCTACGATAAGTTCGGAGATACCGCAGCCGGTGAAGATCAGCGGCTTCAAACCATCCAATCCGAATTACAAGGTGAACTCGAGCTCCATTGAAATCATCGACCGTCGGACGTTGCGCATCTTCAACTTTGCCTGTGAGCCGTGCCCTCCGGGAACATATTTCATGATCGGGGGAAGTCTACTGCCGAACCCGTCTGGTCAGATCATTCCAATGCAACACGACGAGTGAGTATTACGATTATCAGCTATCACGCATTACGTCACAGCATGACTTGATTGATTAAATGACAAAAGCAGTTGAATTGTCTACACGGGATAATCCATCATGCCGGACAGATGATAAGTAAGCAAACTGGGAGCTGGTGAGTAAGTACGAAAGTGGGTGAGTAAGTAGTTGTGGAAGGAGGTATCGATTTGCTGCCCCGTGGTTAAAAATTAATGATCCTCGTTTCTCGGTGCATGGCTCAAGGCACCAGTTTAAAAAGGATTATGAAATTTCGTTTACTCACCACGACGCTGCGCACCAACGACTTCATCAGGGCTGTATTACGTGTAACCACGTAACATGCAAATAAACACGCAAGCAGGGAAGTAAGTCAGCAGTACATAAGAGAGTAACTAAGTAGGAAGCAGGTAAGTATGAAGTAAATAAGTAAGGGTTTAATAATAAAGCAAAAAAATGTTTATTTATGTTTGCTGGTATGTCTACTGTAACGAGTACAGAAGTACACCTAAAGAAAACGTATTGAGCAAATGCATCCGCTAGTAAGCAGATAATTAAGTGGATGACTGCGTCATGAAGTGCACGCGTCTTCTCGACGCAATAATCTGTGAATGATCTTCCCATACAATGGATATAAACGGAAAGAAGAGGCGTCAACAGATATTCCCCATTTTGAGCCGATGCTTCGAATAACAGTACGGTGGTCATCATAAGGCATTATCCATTTTCTACTCTGATGATGAACGCTCTGTAGCGATTCGAAACGTCGGCTTAAGACAGAGAAGGACCTACGCATCTTTCTTATATCCGTGTCTACCGTATAAACAGATCTTTCGTCTAAAAGATTGCGTATTCTAAACGCTTCTTGAAATATCTGTTAAGCAAGCGCTTTGATCCAACTGATAAAATGCCCAATCATCCATTACATCGCAATTTGCTCTAACACAGCTATTATTCGGGCAGAGCTACGAATTCCTCTAGCTGCTCACGTTGTTCTCATTGGCTGTCCATCGATTGTTTGGCAAAGCAGTCCTTCAGATTGACGAGATCACTTTGATCGCCTCAAATTAAGAGCTGCGCAGATTACGGTCTCGCCGAGGCTTAACGTTGGACGGCGATGTACTGTCATTACCTGCTTCAAATTCGACTGTCACCTATTTCTTCTGTGGACTTACACGGCATGGTCACAGGGTCCTCTGCTGCTGGCGGTCAAGAGACCAGCCTTTTAGAAGGTCATGGCTGATTGGTATTACAGCACCTGACGTGCGTGGATACCATTCCACATCACTGCGCTAGACTCTCCACGTTACTGGGTTGCCAGATTGATTCCTCAGCGAGCGGCAGCGAGTTTATTTGTCCCCTGGAAATGAGTCACGCAACGAGTCATGACATAGGAACCAAGAAATCCGCGATTCCAGCAGTCAAGAACACTGCAAGTGGTGAGTGGTGAGTTCCATGTTGCACGTTGGAAAGTTCGTTCCTAGCCTGTGAGAGCAAGTCAGATTATGCCTGCCGCATGGCCCGTCGGTGCACACTCAATATACCAGCGATCACGGAGGCTCGCTTCCTACTCCCGCGGTAGGTTACGCTTGTCCTGCAGGATGGGTGGTTATTCTGATAGTCAAGCCGTAATAGATTACTCCTCGTCGGTGTGGGTATTCTTTTATTCGCGAGGGTGAGCCGGCAGGTTCATTTCAGTGTAGAAAGATTTATGATCTGTCTCATGAATGTCATTGTCACCTATACCGACAGATGTGTCGAGTGAAAACGACAGAAACGCTTTGTATGACTGCCTCAGACGGGTGTTAGCGCTTCGTCGCGTCACTACGTCACAACTGTCACATGCGACCTAAACACGAAGGCACGTACCGAGCACAGCACATGATCAGCCATATTAGGCCGTCACGGTATTGACAACGTGAACGAGAACAGCAGTAGGTTGTTAAACTTATGCGCCAGAAATGGCTTAATCGTCGACGGTGCCCGTTTTCCTCATAAGCGTATTCACCCAACCACCTGGACGTTTATCCATGGAATCCTAAATACCCACACTGGCCCTGTACTCATCAGCTGCAGATGCCGCAGCTCATTACTCAAGACTCGCGTCAGGCGTGTCGCCTGCGTTGCACATGATCACCATCCGGTCGTAATGGAACTTCATCTGAAATTAATCGTCGCATCGACGTTGCCTGATTGAAACGTGTCAGCTCTTCGATGCTGATTGGTTATAATATGAGGAAGCACCCCCGAGGGCTATCGAAATGAAATAGCGAGGTATTTTAATGCCACATTTAGTGTCCAGTCGAAAAGTGGCAACATCGGTGAAGCTTACGATCTTGAAAGAAACAGTGATTCCCTCGGTAAAAAAGCGTATTTTGGGCCAGAAGGAGAATCGCAAAAGTGCCTTTAGTTGGGAAGAACACCCCAGGAGTTATGGTACAAAGTGGAAAAAAAGAGTGCTTACAACATCCTACTGCACCCTCGAATGCAGCTCATTGCCACAGCGTTCCTGCAGTGAACCAAAGGTACAGGCGGGACAAGGAACTTTGGCTGAAAGGGCAAATCAGGACGATCCACAAGGCAACCAGAAGAGGTGCGTAGCGAACAGTATTCACATGGGAATCACAATTTGCCTGTAAGCTGGGGACTCGATCTATATCAAAGACTCTAAGGGTGCCCCATTGCCAGTTCAGAAGGAACACCTTAAAAGATACGTTGATCAGTTGCTCAAAAGCTACTTAGAGGTTCGTCATTTCCGGCTACTATCGATTACCAACAATAAAGGATAATACAGATTCATCCTCGGAACTAGAAATCTAATGTATCTTGCTACAGCTCAAGATGAAGAAAACATGTGGGTGGATCAAAGTCCTCTGAAGAAAATTAAGTACAGAGGAGCGGGAATGACATGAAAGTTCTATGTCCTGTTTCATCGAATGTGGATCAACAACCCCTTCACCGGAGAACGGAATCGTGGAGTAATTGCCCTCATATTTAATTGGGGTCGAATGAACGAGTCTTAACAGTTATCGTTGTATCACTGTATTGTCGGTACTGAAGAACTTTACTCCTGTATCATCCTGGAAATGCTGAGTCAGGCAAATGATGGGAGACTTTGCCAAAATAAGCAGCCTTCCAGCTTAGATACTCTTGCCCCAAGGAAGTCTTCTCGCTGCGTAGTATCATTGAGCAATGCTGAAGATCTCAGTCGCTTAGGTTTGCCAGTTTCCTCCACTTGATGACTGCATCTGACTCGCTACAAGGCCTAACGATGTAGAAAATCTTGAAATTCCATGGAATGCATGGGCACATCGTTTCTACTTTGGAATAAATATATACAGGAACTGTGTATACCATCAAAGGCGAAAAAGAGCTGTCTAAATCGTTCCCTATTACCTGTGAAGTTCCCCAGGGAGTTGTACTTTTGCCTTCGCCATGTAGTACTGTTCTAGACATATTTTTGCGAAACAGTGCGAACCTAGACAAAATTGAGAATCTAGAGGGAGACTCTAATCTCATTCTAAAGGGAAACGAGCAGTTCAGAATATCTGTCTGGATATATTGCTGACGTGGAGTACGCAGATGATATCGTCTTGGTGAATAGCACGAAAAGTGGGCTATGTACTTGAAGGCTTCAGAATGCGAAACACCTGCAAAAGCCGGCCCTTTTCTGAACGCCAGGAAAAAAGTCGTGAGGAACTTATGAGAAACATGGAAATGAAACCGTTGAAGAAACTCATAAGCTTAATTACCTCGACTCCATCATGCCTAGCCATGGCATATTCCAGCCAGAGTTAAATAGGAGGATCGCCCTAGCTTTGGGTGCCTTCAGAATTCTGTGCAATATTTGGTCTGAGAAAAGAGTTACTATTTCTATGAAAATTCGCCTTTACCTTGCATGTGTCAGGCCACTGTTGTTGTATGGTATGGAGACGACTGTTCTAAGGTGTGAGGAAGAACGACGGTTGAAATGCCAACAGCAGCATAGGTTTTAATGCATAATAAGGGTTAAGTGGTAAAACCACATATGAAGGACTTTATTCTGTTTCAGGCACAGCTGACCTCTGTAGATATGGGAACTAAGAAATGGAGGCTGGCTATACTAGACAAAATATATACATTCCTACTTACACGTACATACATACATACATGCATACATACATACATACATCAATACATACATACATACATACATACATACATACAT